TTCTACTTGCTTTGCAAGTCTGGTGCCAGGCAAAGGATCAACATATTTTATACAGCTTAACTGATTTTGAATGGTCACTGCCTTGATACTGGCATGTTAGATTGAGAAAAGGATGTTACAATTGAACTAACTTCCTTGGCGCTGGATTTGGAGGATCCAGCAAAGTTGGTGGAAGTTCTCCAATGCTTGAAGGTGGTTGTTGTTCGTTGTTTTAAGTCTCCAAAGTATTTGGATTGTGGGGATCACTGGCGGTTGCTAAACCATGACTTTAGTCTTAGATTTGAAAGCCTGGTCCTCAAATATTCTTCTTCTCAGTCAGCCAAAGTTTGAGCTGGCACAGATGATGAGAAGATATTGAAGAAGGTGCAGAGAAGATTGATGTGATAGATTGGGGAAGCTGTTGCTAAAAAAAAGGGACAAGCTGTTTACTGCTTAGAGAGCTAACACAGACTAGACCAGCCTAATGTCCTCCTTCTGAGCTATACCTATTTCGAGAGTTTGTAATTCAAGAATATAATTGTATAAACATAGAATAACAGAACACTGCAAGAAATCACACAGACGATGCTGCTTCTTTGAGAAAGCTATCAAATTAATCACACTCTTCTTTTTGTCAATAGCCCAACAAATTGTCCACCTACCTACTGAAATTTAATCCTCAAATCTGCTTCAATTTTTTTTTTAGGCAGCATAATCCAGATCTTAATAACATGCTGTTCCCTCTTGCAGAAGAGTCCAGAACTAGGGGCACAGATTAAAAATAGGGAGTCCCCAATTTAAGACTGAGAGAAGAGATTATTCATCTGACAATTGCAAGTATCTGAAATTCTCTTCTCCAAAGGGTGGTGTGGATGGGTCATTGAATATTTTTAAGGAAGAGATAAATAAATAGATTATTTACTAACAGTGTTAAAGGGTATCAGGGATAACTAGGAAGGTGGAGTTGGGGTCACAATCAGATCAACCATGATCTTACTGAAGGCATAGCAGACCCAAAGGGTGAATCACCTGCTCCTCTTCCTAACTCATATTTTGGTGTCTTTGCACTGCATTAACATTTTTTTTGCCTCATGCCACCTCCAACTATTTTACCAAAGACGCTAAATGTGGCTTTTCTGCTTACTGACAGCTTCTCTTTAATGAATCTGACAAACCTTCATTTAACCTTTGCTATTCTAAGAAGAATAACTCTAGGTTCTCTAGTCCTTCTTTGTAACTTCCTTGCTTTTAAAATTCTGTCTCTGTAAAGTCAAGCCTTTTTAAACAGCATTCTCGTCCTGCTCTATCATCAATGATTTGTACAATCTAAGGTTCTTTAAGCTGCATCCCTTTCAGTATTCCACCATTTTGTTTCACTCGCCTCTCCAAATCTTTCCTACCAAAATTAACCATTACACACTTCTCTGATTTAATCACGTGGAGATGCTGGGGTTGGATTGGGGTGGACAAGGTCAAAAATCGCACGACACCAGCTAATAGTCCCAACAGGTTTATCTGAAAACGCAAGCTTTCAAAGCTCAGCTCCTTCCTCAGGCATAGTGTGAGACTGAGGGTATAAGACACAGAATTTATAAGCAGAAAGGTAACAACCTTAAAAGTGGCCACCTTTTGTTAAATCTTTAAATCAGTTAGGAAGAAGACTACTGATTAAATGCAAAATCTAGTTTCCTTTCATTTATCGTCCTGAAATAATTAAAGGTTTTATCAATGTATACAAGAGGTGACATCTCAAGTCAGACAATGCATTTTGGATGTCGTGGTCTTGCTTAGAATCTATGTTTTAAACTGGAGTCAGAACAGCAAAACAGAATGTATCTGCAACTACACAAACATATTGGATGAAATAATTCATGCGTGCGCGCGTGCATGTGTGTGTGTGAGAAGGCGCGAGAGTGAGCACACATATGTAGTGTGGTGGGGTCGCCCGTAATGCAACATGAACCCAAGATCATGATTGAGGCCATCTTCATGGGTATGGAACTTGGCTTTCAGCCTCTGCACAGCTATTTTGCGTTGTTGTGTATCTCGAAGTCCACCCTCGGAGAACGCTTAACTGAAGATCAGAGGCTGAATGTCCTTGACCCTTGAATGGTTTCCCCCCCCGGCAGGGAACACCCCTGTCCGGTGATCATTGCGCGGTGCGGTTTCATCCATTGTCATAGCATCTGCATGGTCTCGCTAATATACCATGCCTTGGGGCATCCTTATCTGCATCGTATGAGATAAACAACATTGGCCGAGTCACGTGAGTATCTGCTGTGTACATGGTGGATGGTGTTCCCACGTGTGATGGTAGTATCCATGTCGATAATCTGACATGTCTTGCAGAGGTTGCCATGGCAGGGTTGTATGGTGTTGTGGTCAATGGCGTCCTGAAGGCTCGGTAGTTTGCTGTGAACAATCTATTTAAGGTTTGGCTGTTGTTTGAAGGCAAGAAGTGGAGGCATAGGGATGCTCAACTCATTGATCGCCAATTCTGTCGTGCCACAGCGAAAAACTGCGATGACCTCCTCAGAAGACAGACACGAGACATGACCAATAGGGTACTCTATCATCCAGTACTTCCCCAGGGCAGAGAAGCTATGCAGTGTTCTTTGCAGCCTTCAACACATTATTGATGACGAGGAGTATCTCACCATGAGCTTCCTTACGCCTCCACTTCTCGTCTTCAAACCACCACCAAACCTTGAACAAACCATTGTTCACAGCAAACTACCCAGCCTTCAGGATGCCATCGATGACAACACCACACAACCCTGTTAGGGCAACCTCTGCAAGACATGTCAGATCATCAGCATGGATATTACCGTCACACGTGGGAACACCACCTACCACGTACACGGCAGATACTCATGTGACTCAGCCAATGTTGTCTCTCTCATACGATGCAGGTGAGGATGCCCCGAGGCATGGTATACTGGCGAGACCATGTGGATGCTGTGACAACAGATGAATGGGCACCGCGCAATGATCACCGGACTGGGGTGTTCCTACCCATTGGGTGACCACACCAGGGGTCAAGGACATTGAGCTTCCAAACTTCAGGTAAGTGTCCTCCAAGGTGGACTTCGAGATACACAACAGAAAATCGCCGAGTACAGGCTGATAACCAAGTTCCATACACATGAGGGGGCCTCAGGTCATGTCACACTATCGGTGACCCCACCACATTATATACTTACACACACACACACACACACACACACACACACACACACATTTACACAGACCCCTCTCTCTCTCTCTCACACAGTCTCTCAGGCGCACACACTCTCTTTCTCCTACTCTCTCAGATACAAACACACAAACATACATACACAGACACAGACATACACACGAATTATTTCATCCAAAATGTGTCTGTCTAGTTGCAGATACATAGTTTTGCTCAAAACAAATAAAACCTGACCTCAGTTTAAAACACAGACAGGTTCTAAGCAAGACCTCACACCTAAAATGCATTGTCTGACCTGAGATGTCACCTCTTGTATACATTAATGAAATGTTTAATTAGCTGAGGATAATGACTTGAAAGGAATTTAGATTTTGCATTTTAATCAGCAGTCTTCTTCCTAACTGATTAAAGATTCAACAAAAGGCGGCCAGTTTTAGGGTTGTTACCTTTATGCTTATAAATTCAATGTCTTATACCCTCTCTTTCACACTACGCCTGGAGGAAGGAGCTGAGATCCAAAAGCTTACATTCTCAAATAAACCTGTTGGACTATAACCTGGTTGTTGTGAGATTTTTGACTTTCGCTGATTTAACTTTCAGGTTGTTCTGACCTGTAATGGTCACCTGATCCATTACCCCGCCATCCACGAAAATTACAATACCTCTTACTCCAGTTTCATTGAACTTAAACTTCTATGTCATGACAAATCCATAAGATAGAAGTGCAGAAGTAGGCGATTTGAAGCGTGTCCACCATTCTATGAGATAATGGTTGATTTGATGATCCTCAACGCGACTTTCCTCTCTTTTCCCCATAACCCTGGAGTCCTTTCCTGATTAAAATTCTAACTCAGTATTTAATATACTTAACAACCCAGCTTGTGACAGCCATGTGCAATGAAGGATTCCACAGATTCATTACCTTCTGAGAAGTCCCTTCATAACCAAGTATACCACATATCAGCAACATCCTCTAGTTTCTATCATCCAATTTTGCCCTTCTGTACAATTACTATGGTTAATTTGCAGGACAGTTTAAAGTAATTTCAACCATACTTTTTGGAACCCCAATCCTAAACTTTTCCTTTGTAAAAGAAATAAATATTCCTTAAAATCCCATCTCTTGACTGAGTCTTCAGTCATCTATTGGGGCTGAAAACATGAAATCTTTATGTCACTACTATTTATTGTTTTTCCCTAATTGCTATGCCAGAGGGTAGCTAAGAGTCAATCACTTTGATTGAATGAATCATGGGACATCATAAATATCCTGGGAATTCCCAATTCTACCAATGAATTTTCCAATGCAATATTACCCGATGCTGTCTTTTCCTGTGTTCTTACACTTTTCCTTGATATACATAAAATTCATTCCAGAGATATTGTAAATTATTCAATGAGTAATGTCTGCAAATTGACATATTAATGAGCTTTCAGAATGGTGGTTAGAATGGAAATTGAAAGTGTGGAAAGAGTATATTAAGTAGACCCGCGCTAAATTCTTTTGCTTACATGCCTTGGGATGACTGCTTTTGAAGCTTGACTTGGGATTATGAAATTTCATTATGACCTTTAGTCATTCCATTAACCAAAACTAGTATACATTATGAAATTATGAATGCAACCAGAAATCTTATAACATTTGAGTTTCAATATTTACATTTGCTGTATTTTCCTTTATGCCACAAGGTGCATCTAAGTAAAAGATTATCCTAAATACAAAGCCTACAAAAATGTAGTTCTATATATGGAGCATAAATGTCAATATCAGGAGTTTATACAGAAACAATGTTCAAAACAAAGTTAATTAGATTTCTAAACTCACTATTTAGTTGAATCAGACAGTTGGTACTCTCTCCGTCTGTCATAGGACTCTTGGATGCCTGGGTCAATCCATAGACATTTTATTGCTTCCACATAGGGATTATCAAATGTTGTCACTTTTTCTACATCAATATCACGAATTAACTGTGCATTTGCCTGTAAAGAAAAAAATGTTTTAATGTTTTACATAACCCCTTTCCCACTGTAAAGTATACGTAACAAAGTAAATATTACAAGTGTCCATTATTGCTCTTTTGTAGCTACTCCAGGTCATGCAATTCTCCGACTGTCAGGGTGAACTGAGGAACTGATCCTAGGCCCTTGAACTACACTTTAGGGAGCTCACAGAACTCTTTCCGCGAGTGCTACATCCAGTAGTTCAGGAAATCAGTGTTTTAAATTTCCAGCTGCAGTGCTCCCATGTGGTGTTGAAAATGACTCCTGAGCTGTAATTTACTGGAGCAGAGCTTCCTGTGGCATGACTAGGCAGTCAGACTTGACCCTGCACTCTTGAGATATAACAGTTTGCCTTTTTAACACCTTATAAAACCAAACAAATAATGGCATGTTGAGTCCAACAGTCTGTCTAGGATCTTCTTTCATCAATAAGATTTAAGGAGTGAAAAAAGAAACTGAAGGCTCAAAAGTGCACAGAAAATCACAACACTGGATAATGGAAATCTGAAACAAATACAGAATTATTAAAAGATACTCAGCAGGTCTGGCTGCACCTGCAGAGAGAAAGAGTTAAAATTTAGCTCAGTATGACTCTTCTTCAGAACCCAGGCACCCAGGAATCCTATAACCCTTAGCAAGGATATATTCATCTTGGAGAGAGTACAATATAGGTTTACAAGAATGATACTTGGACTTCAGTGGTTATGAGGAGAGATTATGCAAAATAGCCATGTTTTCTTTAGAATTTAGAAGATTAATGGGTGATCTGATTGAAGTTTGAGATATTGACAGCCAAGACAGAATAGATAAAAATAAACTATTTCCACTGGTTGGAGATTCTAGAACTAATGACATAGCATAAAAATTAGGACCAGACCATTCAGGAGAGATGTTCAGAAGCACTTCTACACACAAAGGGTGGTAGAAGTTTGGAACTCTCTTCCACAAACAGTAGTAGGTGCAAGACCAGTTTTAATTTTAAAGTTATGATTGTTTAACAAAAGAATTATCTAAAGATATTAAGGGATATGGGCCAAAGGCAGCATATGGAGTTAGGCTGCAGATTAGCTCTGATCTCACTGGGCGTCATAAAAGGCACGAGTGGCTGAATGGCCTACTCCCGTTCCTGTACTCTGATGACAGTTTAAGAAATATCATACTACACACAAAGAATATTAACTCTCTTTCTCTCTCTCTCTCTATCTCCACAGATGCTACCAGACTGGCTCAGCTTCTCCACCATTCCGTGTTTGCTGCAAAATCAACAGATTAACTGCATGAACAATGAAGTCATTGATGGAGTATAACAATATGGATATTTGTGAGGTAGTAAGAATGAAAAGCAAAACATTTTTTTTTCCAAGGCATTAAACTTTTGATTGTTGATGTTCAGAGAGACTTGAGTATACAAGGAGTATAGTTGGTTTGCACGGCAAGCAGATAGAATGCAAGAATAATAGCGTTGCTAGAATTGTGCTTAGCCTTGGTGCAATCACACCTGGGAGTTTTCATCTCCATACCTAAGGGTAACTTGTCTTTGAGGCAATGCAGCTAAGACTCAAAAGATTAGTTCTTCTATGAGGAGGAGCTGGAATAAATTGGACAAAATCCTTGCAGTTTAGAAGAACGTGATCTCATTCAAACAAGCAAGATTCTGACAGACATTAAAGTTGGTTCCCCTGGCTGGCAAGTCTGGGTTACAAGAGAACAACGTCAGGCTAAGGAGTGGATAAGAAGTCTTGATTTTGACAAAAAATTATCGGTTTTGTTGATTTATCTGCCTGCAACCCCCCATTCTCAGGGCTCCTCATGTAAATGAAAGCAAAAGTAAGTATTTTCAAGCCTACATAAATTCTTGACAACTAACAAGCTAAAGTCGTAAGACATTAATGATGATGCTGAGTGACAAACCACTGAATTGGCACAGCAGTTACTCGGTTACTTCCTCTAGTTTACAACACAGAGTTAGATTTGTTACCATTTGTCAAATTTTCTGACAATTTCTGGGTTACAAGAAGACCTGACCATAAAAGAGAACTTCCTTGATATAGCAACTAATGGCACCCTCGAGACAGAGTTCCAATGAAAATAATTAGCAGACATTTGAGTCCAAGAGTAGGCAGCATATCCTCAGATAGAACTATCAAGACTGTGATGCTGTTTGTCACAAACAAAACTTTGTGAAATTATTTTGTAGAATTAAATCAAAGATGGAAACAGTTTGCAAATGAAATTGTCACCCATTTTTCCCTAACCTCAAGTGCTTATATTCCAACAAACAAGCTTAACCAGCACGTTAACGTCATAATTTACAAAATATACAGTTATGAAAAATCAGGATTGTTTAATAAATGTTGTCCAATCACTGAAACAAATTGAATGTTAAACACTATAGAATTTTACAAGCATGATCTGGTCACACATAGTCAATACTCTGCCTGTTGCGAAGAAATGAATAGATGTGTTGTTTGATACAATCTGCTGTTTAGTGAGACAAACAGCCTATTGGTATCACTCCAATCAAGGCTATCATATAGGAAAATAGCTCCTCTGCTCAGATGATTTCTTGTTGTATCCTCATGAAAAACAGCATGAAAAGTGCCCAATCTATCTCATTATCCTGAGGGGTAATTCATATACCACATTACACACTTGTGTAGCAGGTGGGACGTCTTTTCTTCTTGATGGCGAACACCATACATGTAAAAGTTGTGAAGCGTTTGCAGCCTGTCGCTCAAATTTTTTTTTGAGGCATCTTACTGCTTCAGGGCAAATGGCTCAGTCTCTACTTTGCCAATAAGGTCAATCTTAAAGCGCCTTAACCTGTAGGTGTCATAAAATTACCACCACCAACAAAAAGGAATCTAACTGCTCAATTCCTCTCCAAAATCACAGGAAGTTACTGTTGACCAAAAACCAAATACTGTAGTTGTGTCAGAGAGTTCTAGGGAAATAGTCCAACTCCTCACTCTCCAAAACCTGTACAAGAAAGCACAGCCCGACTGTGATTGAATTCTCTCCCTATGCCTGGATGACTGTAACTCCAAATGCTTTAAAATCACAATGCCATTCACGACAAAGCAACCCGTTTAACTGGTACCTCAACTCAATATTAAACATTTATATCCTCCACTACTTGTGCACAGTGGTATTATGGTATTGGTGTACATCATAAACCAGATGCTCGCTGAGGCTCCTTCAACAATATCTTCCCAACTTACAACCACTACCAACTTGAAGAAAAAGAGCAGCAGACACGGTGGGAAATCTACAGCAAGGTCTTATCCAAGCAAGATGCCACCCTGATTTGGGGCCCTATTGTCACTCCATTATGACTTGGTCTTGTTTTAAATGTGGCTGTTTAAAGTCCACTGGTCCAAACATAGCATATTCCAAAATGTGTATGTATTTAGTTGACCTAAATAATGTCTAAAAGTCTGGATAAAGGAATCTTGATTGTTGAATATATTTAATTAATTCCTGTGTCATGCAGCTGAGAATGCACAATATAGGTGGGGGAACGGGAAAAAAAGAGCAGTTTATGTCAGCACAAAAGGAAATTATATTTTCAATCTACGTCCTCTAGTGCTTTATATGTGGTTCACATGCTTACTGCATTTAAAATTTATAAATGCAATACTTCATTTCCACATATTTCGATCATTGTACTCTCTATGTCTCTTAATACCTATTTCCTTTTTGCAAATATCTTTTCAACGTGAGGAAAATGCACCATAGATTCATAAGCTGGAGTACAGAGTTCTTTTAATTCTCTACAGATACTCTTGGCGTTGCAGAAATCACAATTCAAGCAGGATTTGCAGGAGCTTTGTGCCAAAAGACAGAAGAGCATTCACAAAAGTTGACTTGCTAACTTGGGTATTTTGAGAAATTGCATTATACCACTTGCTGCCTTCAACTACTCCACAGCCACAATCCCACTGCTAATCACTAAACAGTCCTTATGATATACTGCCTTCTTGAGTTAATTGGCAGACCCCACAGGCATTGTTAAATTGATTGGATGATCCCAGGTGAAAAATGCCACATTGTCACACAATCTGGTTGGGCGACCAGCAGTATTCTCTTTTGCTTACAGTCAATGAAATTTAAGATCTAGATACTTATAAAAAGAATAATGACAAAATTCCACACTTTTTAAGAAACAAAACTGAACTTTGCTATACAAGGTTAGAAAAGTAAAACAATTTATATTATAGAAAACACTTAGAATTAACACAAAGTAAATAAGAGATGGATAGACACACAGCACCTCAAACAGCCTCTCAGACTTGTCAGCAACAACCCATATGTCAGTGACACTACCGTTCACCAAATGTGATTAAAACCTGGTCTCATTTACAAGGGATTCCAATTTTTTACATTTGGATACCAAGCCTTGAGACTCCTTCAGAAACAACTCCACTACAGACTGTACCAATGACTGTTCACATCCTAGTAGTTCAATCTCTTCCAGATGTATGTTCTACTAGATTCCACAGTCTGCATTCCAGCACCATGCCCTCTGAACAATGCAATTTCTACTCTTACAGATTGCCAACTTCAAAAAGCACATTGCACCTAGACTTATCAGAACTGCAATATTTCTCAGGTGCACCAAGCAAATACTGTTTGTGGGCTTACTTCACACTCACTCGTGTACCAAACTGTTCATATGATTGTAATGAACTCCCCAGGTCCTCAGACCCAACTGCAGCAATTTAACTGTGTGGCAACATGTTCTTTGGCTGCTCTTCACAGTTGAACACACAACCGGTAACCTTTGCATGTCAACATGCTGCCTTTCACTACAAGATGATAAATTGGACAGTTACAAAATAAATACAACTTACAAAATACTAAGGCTGGAATCTTAGAAGGGTCTGAGCAATATGGGCTATAGCGAGATGTGTAGCAGAATTGGATGAGAATTGTGACAGGGCTGATATCAACCAAGGTATTCTGACCTCACCTTTCAT